CGATCATGGAAGGGGAAGAAGTAATGGTAACAACATTAACAATGAAGTTAAGATCCACTAAATATTCAGAGGTCGTGGCCGTGGACAAAGAGGAGGAAGAGGACATGACTACTATCAAGAAAATAATGAACAACGATAAGACAAATCAAAAATTAAGTATTATAATTGTCATAAATTTGGCCATTACTCTTGGGAATGTCATAGCAATGTTGAAGAAAAAGCTAACCTTATTGACGACAAGAAAGAAGAAGATGAGTCAACATTGTTGTTGGCACTCAAAGAAGAAGACAAGGATGATTGTAGTTCATGGTATTTGGACAATGAAGCAAGCAATCATATATGTGGATGCAAAGACAAGTTTGTAGAGATCAATAATTCAGTGAGAGGTAATGTGTCTTTTAGAGATACCTCAAATATTCAAATCAAAGGAATAAGTGTGATTCTAATCTCCTGTAAAAATGGTGGCTACAAGTTAATTCAAGATGTTTATTATTTGCTAAAATTAAAAAGTAATATTTTGAGTTTGAGACAACTTCTTGAAAAGGAATATGGCATCCACATGGAAAATATGCATCTTTAGCTTAGAGATTCAAGTGAAATTCTAATTGCTAAAGTTCATATGGCAAAGAATAGATTATTTTCTCTGAATCATAAGATAATTGATACAAAGTGTTTGAAGGCTAATATGTAAGATGAATCATGGTGTTGGTACATTCATTTTGGGCACTTTAATTTTGAAGCGCTCAAATCAATGGGAGAAAAGAACATGGTGCATGGATACCATCAATTAGCCATGCAATCAAATGTGTGAAGCTTGTCTTCTTGGAAAACATACGAGGAGTTTTCCAAAGGAGGCCATGTCAAGATCAACCAAGCCACTCCAGCTTGTTCACACTGATGTGTGTGTGCCAATTAATCCACATTCCTTTAGCAAAAGTAAACACTCTGCTCTTTCCTGATGACTTTAGTAGAAAGACTTGTATTTATTTCTTGAACCAAAAATCTGAAGCTTTTGTTGCTTTTAAAAATTTCAAAGTACTTGTGAAAAAAGAAAGTGGCTATGAAATAAAAGCTTTAAATTCCGATAGAGGAGGCGAATTCACATTAAAAGAATTTAATAACTTTTGTCAGTCTTATGAAATGTTTCGTCCTCTAACGGTACCTTACTCAACTCAACAAAATAGAGTTGCAGAGATAAAGAATCGAACGATTCTTAATATGGCTAGATGTATGTTGAAAGCTAAAAGTATAACAAATAAATTTTGGGTCGAAGCTGTTTCTTGTGCAGTTTATTTGACCAACAAGTCTCTAACAAAAAATGTTGGAGATGAAACTCCTCAAGAAGCATGGAATGGAAGAAAACCAAGTATCAAGAATTTGAGAATCTTTGGGAGAATAGCCTATGCTCGTATACCACAGCAAAGGAGAGTGGGCCCGGGTGTTGACTTTTTAAAAAATGGCCTAAATTGAATTCTTTGCAATCGTGGGTAGTTCTTAAGCCTTAATTTTAATCGTTTGGTTGGTAATTTGCTAGATTCTATTGGTTTGGAGGCTTGTTTGAAAGGAAAAGTCATGGTTGAACTTTGAGTGTGGCCGTTGGAGCGAGGTAAGTGTCGTGGTTAACCTTGGCTTAAGGAATTAAGACTTAATTTCCTCTTTGCTACGTGTTTGAATATTTGGTACAACATATAAGTGAGATGATGAGTACCTATACGTTGTTGTCGGGTTATAACATGTGGGTGGGTCTTATTCTTGTAATTGTTGCTTTCCTTGATCATATTATCCATGCTTAGACTAGTTAATCATTATGTTGATCATTCTTATCATGTTTATGGACTTTGGTATTGATTGAGTATTGACTCAAGGTTGAAGTTGGTATTGTGGAATCAAATATTGCAGTAAGTCTTGTTCTTGTTATTTTTATCTCCTTGTTGTTATTGTTCATTGTTTTGGTGAGGGAGAGTGTGAATTGACTCAAGGTTGAAGTTGGTATTGTGGAACCAAATGTTGCAGTAAGACTTGTTCTTGTTATTTTTATCTCCCTGTTGTTATTGTTCATTGTTTTGGTGAGGGAGAGTGTGAATGCACGAAGGGTGATGTCGTGCCATGTTTTGTGAGAGTTAATGCACGAAGGGTGATGTCGTTCTATATTGTGAGTGTTAATGCACGAAGGGTGATGTCATGCCATGTTATGAGAGAGTTAATGGACGAAGAGTGATGTCGTGTCGTTTTCTATTGATTCATATGGTGGGGTTGAGAGTAAAAGCGCGAAGGGTAATGCCGTTCATTTTGTTTACTGGGCTTACTTGTTTATTTGTTCAAGGTATATCGGTTGATCAAGTTCTTATTACTGCTGTGATTCTTTATCTTGTGATCCCCTCAGCATGTCCCCTCCCGATATTACTTCTCTCATTCTTTCATTGTTGTTATTAGTAAATATACTATTAAATTGCATAGGTTTATTTGTGGGTGTCTTGTCTTAGCCTCGTCAATACTTCGCCGAGGTTAGGCTCGACACTTACCAGGACATGGGGTCGATTGTACAGATACTGCATTTTGAACTTTCTATGCAGATTTTGGTATTGGTCCTAGTTGATCGAGAGGCATATCAGTTCGAACCGAACCACCGGAGACTCAAGGTAGATCTGTCGGCATTCACAGACCTTGAAATCCCCGTCTATCGCTTCTGTTTTACTGTTTCTTTCGTTCAAATAGATGTATTTCTTTCAGACTTTTACTTGTAGTAAATCCTAGAATGTTCGTGAATTTGTGACACCAGATCCGGGTAGTAGTAAATGATAAAGTTGTTATATTCCGCACTCGTTGTATTTCACTTTAACTTATTTATTGTTACTTGTTGAATTGAATAAGGTTTGGCTTAATAATCTTCTAATGTTGGCTTGCCTAGCAAGTGAAATGTTAGGCGCCATCACAGTTCCGATGGTGAGAATTTCGGATCGTGATACAAGCGGTTTCATTTTATATATTTATATCAAATATTTTTATTTTTCTTATGATCTTTACATACTTTTTTACGAAAAAATTTGACAAGGCGGTGTGACGCTCCTAGTGATAAGTCCTTCAACCTTTACCACTTGAACTAAGCCGTGAGGGCAAAATTGTAATGATGAGAAGCTTGATCTAGAGAATGCATAACAAAGGTTTTTTCACCATGCAATCATGTTGCATATGTTTAACTATTAAAGAACAACAGAACAAGTCCCTTATAAGGTGATTATTTTTATATGGATAGTTGCTAAGGATGTCTGCCTTAAAAACAACCAGAAAAGAGGCATAACCTTATATATGCTGCAAATGCTACTTATGTGGGAAGCAACCAGAATGTGCAAATCACCTATTCCTATGTAGTTCTGTCACAAACCAACTGTGACGGCTATTCTTGAACATTTCAGGTCTCTGATGGGTGCCTGAATTTGCTGTAGACCTTCTAAGTCGCTGCAATCAGAAAAGTTTTGAGTAAAAAAAGACAGCTTGGTGGAAATCTGTCCCAACACGCATTTGGTGGATTATTTGGAGAGAAAGGAAAAACAAATGTTTTAAAAATAGAGCTGACTCTATCAAGAAAATGAAGTTAACTATATTCTCTTTAGTTTTACTTTGTTGTAGACCAGAAATTGGAAATGAGACTGAAAATCAATTGTAGAACTCATGGAATCCGAGAAAGGGATATAACTTTTGCTTTTTGCTACACTCGTACAGTTTGTTTAGCACCATCTTAGTGCTAGATTTTACTGAAATCTATTTACCATTCTCAAAAATAGATCAAAATAATCAATGGATTTGTTATTTTGCTTCATTAAAATTGCGCTGTCTAGATAGAAGAAAAGTAACTTCACTACTACTCTGTTAATTAAAACTAAGCAAATGCCATAAATTAACCAATGTTTGTAGACTTTCACGTTACAATTGGAAGGTAGTTAAGCACACAAGTGAGCTACAAGCAAGGTTTGCAGCGTTCAATTTATTCAATACTTGTACTTTATAAAATCGAGCCCTCTACTTTTTTCCACTTCCTCAAGATCGTCTAGTTATTCTTGCCAAAAAACAAAGGTCATTGAAATACAATTATATTGGAATTGCACATTCTTTTTCCTCAAGGTTTGGGTACTGGCCACCAATCCCATTGCGCTGCCCCTGCGTGGCTATACATTTTTCATCAAAATCAATAGCGAGAAAAGTTTCAATCATGGGAAGAAAAGAGAGTGGAAAATCTTGAATCGCATAGTTTATGAAACGGTAAACTAACCCACTCCTAATCTCCTACATAATATGATTAATTAAGTCGTAGATACACTTTTTGTATATTTCAAAATCATACACTTAACCTCATTGTACGATGAAAATCCTACGCAACTTAGTTTAAATAGTGTTTTCATGTTAAACGTGTGACAAGTACTTAGTTTTGAACAACAAAAGGTATATCGTTGTCCAAGTATATTAAAGTAGAGTAACCAAAAGATAAATTAAAATTTCAAATAAGAAGTTTGAAAAAAAAAAGTGTTTATCCGATTGGAGAAGTTTGGCCAAATATGTTATAAGTCATGAATACTGCCTGTGGCCCGTGGCATTTGCGGTCTTATTCTAAATTATGTGTGGTCTAGGAGATCTTAGGGGAGATAACACAAATGAACACACCATATATCTTGTTAAGTTTTTGTTAAGTACTTATACTATATAAAGCAGCCAACGAAAAAAGTGAATGTTGTAATATAAAATAAAAAAGGAAGAAGAATCAGATGTACATTTAATTTGAAGAAATAACTTGATTTGCTTTGCTGTATTGAAGAGTTAGGTTGATCATGAGGTTGAGAAGGTCGGTCTCTTAATTCTGACAATTAACGCACAATGCATGATGAATATATATCATCCTAACTCTCACATTCTTCCTTATTACTTCAATTTCTCGGCTACTATATATATCATCAAACTTCTCACACTCAAAACTACATCTTTTACATCTCTAGTACTACTAATTAACTCTGAAAATGGCAATTACCAATATTCTCCTAATTGTTGCTGCACTTGTTTTACCAACAAATGCAAGGAGCCTTTCCATGAAAGCTACAAAAGCCGAAGATGAACAGAAGACGCTTTTTCGCCGCCCTTTACCGCCATACCTTGGTCACGGGATTGGTAGGCCCGGTTTTGGTGTAGGGCCGGGTTTTGGAAGCGGAGTTGGAGGTGGTTTTGGTAATAATCCTTTTGGAGGAATATCTAGTGGAAGTGGATTAGGTTTTGGAGCTGGAACGGGTTTCGGGTCCAGCATTGGTGGTGCCGGAGGTTTCGGGTCTGGTGTAGGTTTTGGTTTTGGTGACGATGGAG